CAAAGATACTTTTGACGGGGGTATCGTAATTTCTCCTGCAAATGCTTAGCTAATTCTTCATATCTTCCTCTTCCCCTTGCTCTCGCTCCTTTTTTTTCGCTATCGCTTGAATGAAATATAGCAGAAAAATTTGTACTCAGAGTATATGTATACTGGTAATACGGATACAAGAATTGGTGTACGAAATAACATCACTTGCAGAGCCTCTCCCCAGTCCGGCTTTTCGACAGATTTGACAGAAACGGTAAGCAAGAACTAACCTGCGCCGGCGATGCATCGATACCGGTGCTGGGAAGACGCGAGGCGGCCGCCATCAGGCTCTGGATGTAATGCTGCATAATTTCCTGGCACTGTAAGCTCTGCAACAGGTAGCTGTCCGGTTGCAGCGGATTGCTCCTATATTCGGCACAATCCTGATCGGGCGAAGGCGAAGCTCCTGGAGCTGTCGTCGATGCTGCTGCTGCCACCGCTGCTAGCTGCTGCGGCATGAATGGTGTCATAAATGGGTTTGCGAAGAACGATGGCATCGAATTGGGCATCGTCGAAGCCGCCGAGCTATTCACTGCAATTTAGCAATTTTATTTGCTTAGACTAAATTTGGGGTGAATTTTGCTGGCTGAGACAAATTGTTGTCCACAAGGACGTCACCAAAACCAGGAACTAGCAGCGGGCATGGAAGAAATGTGGCCAAGCCGTAGGACAACAAAACAACTAATTGCGACTGCCCGCTAAAACTGTCATCAATAAAAGCAGTAAATGAGGGCGGACGAGGAAGAAAGAAATAGCTTGGAAAGTAGTAGCGAGAGAGCGACACCACTACGGCAGTAGACGCATGTGGGAAAGAATTTTTTTGCTCGTAAAGTTTTTTCAGAACGCAATAAAACTGTCAGGTGGGGGAATGGATGCTCGCCCAAAATACTAATTTTGTCCCATCATGGTACAGAACACCCCGCTTCACATTCTTTTGCTCTCTCCTCCTTCCATTCTCAAAAGAGCTATAAAGTAGATGAAATGATGAATTTGAACAAGCAGATGTTGCAGCAACCCCTCCCATTAAAGAGAGACCCTATTCAAGAAGCAATTTACCGTGCAGCGGGCCGATATATATATTATTGTTAGCAGTGATCACTGACCAATGTGCTGAAGAAATCTAACTTCGCAGCCTCTAAATAATGCCTCTTCAATGCTTCGAAATACAGTTAAACGAAGAAACGGATGTGGCTTACACAACAGATCTCGAATGAGAGCTTTTCACTTTTATGTCTGTGTCCGCGCCTGTGTCGAGTCTTTATCTCGAGACCTACAAAAGCCACAGGGCTGAAACTTTGAGAACTTAATCTACACGGAATTGCGGCTCCCATCTTAAAAATGGACGCTCTTACCCACGTAATTTCCACGTACGAGCCCATGAAAATTTCTCGTGGGTAGAATGCTAGAAAACTGGAATGGAATTTTAAGGAAATGTTTTCTAAAAGTCGTGGTGGTCAGTCTTAATTCCTTTATCTCAAAGCATCTGCCGAAAAAACCGTGCCGCTAGCGATAAAACCTGCGAAGAACTGCGCAAAAAAACGCATCTTCGCATCGGCAGTGGGTGCGCTGGCCAGTTATTTTCACTGCGCTGCCAACAACTCAAGTTAATGCGGTACCAGCTATGGAAAAGAGTTTTTTGCACAGCTCGGGTGGCGAAATTTGTGAAAGACTCTAAATTTGGCAGTTACAAAAACTCGGCTCAGCGGATGATCTATGGTGCTTTAGCCTTCCAGCGCTTTGCTCTGTTATCTCTGCCAACACTGTTTCGCGGGATCGCTTGCTGGAACTTTGCCAGGCGCGCTAGGTAGCGCTGCCCCGTGTCTGGCGGCTGGATCACGTGACCACGGGGGTGATGGATGGGAGGATTGGACATGGTTGGGGGGTGTTTGTTGGTAGCTGCCTAGAAACAGCTCAGAAGGCGCGATTGAGGCCAGGATAATGGGGAGGAATGAAGTTGCTGGTTGAGAGTTCAGAACGATAAACGGTGACAGTGGTTGGAGGTGGTGGGTGCCCCGATGCTCTGGAGGCAGGAATTGGGGAAAGGCTACAGGAGGGGAAGAAGGGCGCTAGTCAGGAGTTCGAAGCAAGAACCGCAGATAGCAGTAAAGAGGAAATTAAACCAATACGGCACTACAAAGAAAAGTAAATTAAAACATACTTGAATTTGTAAATAAAAAAAAAAAAGCAAAATCAAAGAATTGGAGCCTGTAACCAAGAGCAAAAAAAGCAAAAGCAAACAAAAACTGAGCTTAAGCGAGTGGGATTTGTCTTACAAAAACCCGTCCTCAGTAATCGCACCCCGCATTTATGAGGTTTATGCTTAGGTGAAGCTGAGGCAAATAAGTTCGGCAGGATTTACTGAAGCTTACGCATAGGTGAAGCTGAGGGGAAATAATTTCGACATGATTTACTGAAACTTATGCTAAGTAAAGCTGAGGGAAAATAATTTCGGCGGGATTTACTGGAGCTTATGCTTAGGTGAAGCTGAAGGCAAATAAGTCCAGTTGGATTACACAAGAATTGCCGACATTTCCACAGTGCTGCATCTTGCAGTCTGCAACTGTGCACAACAGTTATACTTTGTTTTTTGTCTTCAAAATCTCACAGGAGCAAATGATGACTTCTCCAGACATCCATTCTACCCTGTTTTTGCCCACTTCATGGCATTTATTCGCTCTCAGCTTCACCTAAGCATCAGTTTCATAAATAGGGAACCTTAACGACGGGTTTTTGTGGAATAGCTTTTCCTAAGCATCAGTTTCATAAACAGGGAAGCCTATTCACACGTTTTTGTGTAACAGTTTTTCCTAAGCATCAATTTCATAAATAAAGAAGCCTAATGACGGGTTTCTGTGGATCAGCCTTACCTAAGCATCAGTTCCATAAAAAGGGAATTCCTAGGAGCACACTTCCTCATCTTTTCCGTTCTTCACCGCTCCCCTCTCCTCTCATATATACGTTACTTAGCTATTTGGCAAAGGATCTACGCCATTTAGTCCTTATATCCACCTATCCCCTCCCACGCCTCGAACGAAACCCGTCACATACCTCCCCCACAGTGGGCAGCCCTACCTGTCGTCGAGAGAAAAAATTTTTTGTGGCTTGTGTATGAGACGAGCCGAACTGAGTTTTTGTAATTGCCCCAAATTTTTCCAAAGTGTCTGCTGCAGCTGCATATACGATGCAATTATCAAAACGCCTCCGAAGTGATCGCCCACAAGCCACTCAAAAATTCACGACATCCGTCAGCAAAAATTCTCGATATCCGTCAGCCAAAACATCAAATTATCATTTTATTGTTAAAAATAACTCACAATGGCAAAGCAAAAACTCAAATTTCATTTCTCCACTGAGATAAAGAGTCAATCCCCATATGGAGGGTGAAAAGGCCAACGCATCAATGGATAACAAAACCCAGGCTGGAACGCACCGGGCGGGCCCGTGCGATCATGCGTTTTTGTACCGGACTTAAATTACTCAGGTCGTTAACTGTATGAATGGCTGTTGCTTTACACCTAACTTTTGCGGTCACTAGTA